TTTATTGCATATTTTTATAATTTTTTAATTATTTAATTTCTCTGTTTCTGTCGCTAATGAATAAATTAAGTTCAGTTATGCGGCTAATTAGTTGCAAGGGAAAATATTTGAACTACCAAACGACTAGGTAGGTGGCAATTAAAGAGCTTTTGTTGATACTTGTTCAGTTGTAAAAAGAAAAAATTTGGAGTCATAAAAATGTAAATAAAGTTTAATAAAAAAAATATTAATTATCAATTAAGGAGCGTCAATATCTGATAATTGATTTATCACAACAGCAACAGTAAGTTACATTGAAAGCTGCAAATAAAAAGTTATTGCTTTGGTTGAATATCTTAGCCAAAGTATATTTATTTTTTTAAAATGTTAATAAATGATTTATGGTTTCTGAGCTAAGAAGAAGATTAAAATAGAATATATTAATTTTAATAGAAAATATATTAAATTTGCAAAAATATTTTTTTATTGATTTTGAATAAATAAGACAGAATTTAAATAATTAATTTTATTAATCAAATTATAGACAATTTTAATTAATCTTATTGCGTTATCTTGGCACAGGCGACAGAAAACTGAATATACCTCATACTCAGACTTCGGATAAGACATTTTAATTTATGTTTGTTAAAAAAGAAAAATAAAACATATTTTATATAGTTTAAATAATAAAGATTTTGTTTTTTGTTTAATCTTGTACTTGAACGAGTTATTATTTTATTTGCTTTTATTGTGACTCTCCATTGAAAATGCTATAAATGATATATTAACCATGTATATATTTCGTAAGCTATGTCGCCCGGATTTTACTCGTAGTCAATAGGTTAAGGAAATATTTGGAGGAAAATAACAGTGGCACTTCCAAATATAAGCAAGTCATATAGTTAGATAAATAATAAGAAATAGGAGTGATATTTACTAACAAAAAGTTGTATAAAGTTAAAGTAATGTTTTCCAGATATGAGTTAACCACTTAAGTGCTTAAATGGTAGTTAGAAATAAGAAGGTAAGAAGGTTATGAGAAGAAATATATAACTTCCCGAAGAGTAGTTAATTGTAAAATGAGAAGAAATTAATATAATATTTTTC